CAATCTCAAGGAATCTTGTATAAGAAGTCCCTAGGTTTACCTTGGTTGAGGTGTCTAGATGAAATAAAAGCACAGAAGAAGCTGGCATACCATGGTTTTATTGCTCATTTCCTAGGATAAAGTGGATTTTCGAATTTAATCGCAGTACATCACGCTTTTTATCTAAATTAGTTTAAAATCTACATCATGGCATAGCATGACTTCTGTTTATTTCTTGTGATAAAGTAGATTTCTCAATCGCATCGTGGCATACTGTGCTTTTATTAATAAAGAATTTTAAAATCTACATAATGGCATATCATTATTTTTGTTGATTTCTCGACATAAAGTGGATTTTCCGATTGCATCATGCCATATCACTCTTTTATTGACACAAGTATTTTAAAATCCACATTATGCAATAGCATGATTTTTGTTGATTTCTTGACATAAAGTGGATTTTCCGATTGCATCGTGGCATATTGCGCTTTTATCGACATGAGTATTTTAAAACCTACATCTTTGCATTGAATGATTTCTAATTATTCATCTACACAAAGTAGATTTTTCAATTACACCATAACATATCGTGCTTTTTATCAACATAAATATTTTAAAATCTGCATTATGGTATAGCATGATTGTTGTTTGTTTCCCGACATATTTAGTTTAAAATCTACATAATGGCATAGCATGATTTCTACTTATTTATCGGCATAAAGTGGATTTCTCAATTGCATTGCAATAAATTGTGTTTTTGTTAATATAAGTATTTTAAAATCTACATCATGGTATTGCATGATTTTTACTAATTTCCCAACATAAAGTGAATTTTTCAAGGGTAAATTTCTTAAACTACCCTTATGGTTTAGCTAATTGACTAAGTATACCCTTACTGATTGAATATTGTCTAACGCTACCCCTATTGTTTCTGACAATTGACTAATTCTACCCTTACCATTAATATTCCGTCAAAACTCATGTATATTTTTCTAAAACCCAATTTTACCCTCATCGTCGAGGAACGTTTCAAATGCTCCATCCAGCGTGTCAACTCATCCCTCACCTTGTTAAACACCAGCCCTACAACCATACTATCCTTCATAGTACTAGCTATAACGGTTACTTGTACGCCGGTAATGTTGAACACGAGCTTTAGAAGAGTTGTTCGACTGAAAAAGCTCACTTTTGGTTGTGGATTTCACCTCTCTGGTCTGAGTGTTTCAAGTGCGAGCTTCAATGGAACCCATGGAGTTATGAGACTTAGGTGAGGACCCACCTCCTCCTCCCAAGTGGGTAAGCAATTTGGCGACAAGTGCTACTAATAAGAGAAATGCAGCCCATTATGAGGAAGAAAATGATGAGCTTCACTCCATTACACACAAGTGTTTTTTCTCCCTCGTTCTATTATATAGGGATCAAGAGGGTATTCATCGACAGCATGGGATTGCCGAACAACCCCTCCATCTGGGCCTTAGACAACCAGAGTAACGGCGACACTGTGATCGACTCTAACACCACACTAACCTTCCTCGTCGAGCCAAATTACCATCATGTTCTAACAACATCTCAAAAGCAAATAGCTTGAGCATACCAAACTAGAACAATCGACCCATCTTTGCTTTCTAACTGGCGACTAACCATTGGCATCACCGATAACTGCTTTTAAAACCACGGACTGTCTTTTATTGTCTCAAGTTCGAGTTCCATGGTTAGTATTGAATAAGTTCGAAGAGGAATGACACTAGATAGGAGCTCGAAATCGAGGCCTCCTCATCAGGCGGCGGCGACGCTCCCTCCTTAGGCAACTTCTTTGCTTCCGTTGGGGGCAGAGCCCCTTCATCAAGAGGCGGTGGTGGCACTCTCTCCTTAGGCAACTTCTTTGCTTCTGTTGGGGGCGGAGCACCCTCGTCAGGTGGCGGTGCTCCTCTTTCTGCTCTTGAACATAGGCTTCTACTACTGCTCTCCAATAGTAGGGCTCCTCAACATAGAGCTTCTGTTTTTGCTCTAGTCTCCTATTTTCTGAGAATATTGGAAATTCCCAATCCCCTCGATGTGGACTCCACACTGATCCAATGGTTTTAGAAGCAGTTGCCAATGATGCCAATGGTCGACCGCCAATTGGAAAGCAAACAGTGCAAACAGGAGTTTTTGGCTCTAAAGAGAGTGATTTGGGAAAGAAAAAAAGATTCCAAAAACTTTCGAATGAAATGAGGGGGCTGGAGGTGGAGGGGGCTATCGCCGCCGTTGGTAAGGACGAAGCTAGCTCAATTTGCCTCTATGAAAGGAAGAAGTTGAGTTGCTAAAAGGAAGAAGATAGTAAGGGTAATATTGGATTTTAATAAAATTATACATCACATCTATATGAGTTTTAATGGAATATTAACGGTAAGGGTAGAGTTAGTCAATTGTCATAAACAATAAGGTTAACGTTAAACAATAGTTAAACAGTAAGGGTGTACTTGGTCAATTAGCTAAATCATAAGGGCAATTTAAGAAATTTACCCATTTTTCAATTACACCGTGTTATATCGTACCTTTTATTAGCATAAGTATTTAAAATTCATACCATCGAATATCATAATTTTTGCTTATTTCTTGGCACAAAATGGATTTTCAAATTGTGTCGYGACATATCGCGCTTCTTATTTGTTAAAAACGTTATGTACCACAATTCAATTCAGAATCCACTTTATGCTGAGAAACAAGCAAAACCATATTGTGCCAAATCGGGCTTTTGTCAATATAAGTATTTTAAAATCTTCATCATGGCACAACATGATTTTTGTTGATTTTATGGCATAAAGTGGATTTTCTGATTACATCGTGGCATATTGTAACTTTATCACATAAATATTTTAAAATCTGCATTATGATGTAATATGATTTTTATTGATTTATCAACATAAAGTGGATTTGCGATTGCATTGTGACATATCGCACTTTTATCAACATGAATATTTTAAATTTTTCATCTTGGCATAGCATGATTTCTAGTTATTTACCAACATAAAGTATATTTTCCAATTACACTGCATTATATTGTGCTTTTTATCAAAATAAATATTTTAAAATTTGCATCATGGCATAGCATGATGGTTGCTTGTTTCCTAGCATAAAGTAGATTTATTGCCTGCATCACAGCATATCGTGCTTTTTTAGCAAAAATATTTTAAAATTTGCATCATAACATAACATGATTTTTCTTATTTACTGCACACAATGGATTTTCCAATTGCATCATAGAATATCACATCTTTTATCCACGTAATTAGTTTAAAATATGCATCATGGCATAGCAGGATTTTTACTTAATTTCTGACATAAAGTAGATTTCCCAATTTCACYGTGGCATATCATGCTTTTGTTAACTAAAGTATTTTAATATATGCATCATGGCTTAGCATGATTTTTTCTTATTTCTGGCATAAAGTGTATTTTCCGACTACATCGTTGCATATTATGCTTTTATCGACAAAAGTATTTTAAAATTTGCTTCTTAACATAGCATGGTTTCTACTTATTTTCTGACATAAAATGGATTTCTTAATTGCATCAAGACATATCGCGCTTTTAGCCTAATAAAGTGGATTTCCCAACATTTAATAAATTTTCCATTTATATCGTGACATACCGCACTTTCCACATTTTTTTAAGCATATTATTATGAGTCTGCATCTTGGCATTGCAAAAATTCTGTTTGTCCCTTGATGTGTAAAATTTTACATGCATCACAACATAATGTGATTTTTTTATCCATTGTTTTTACTATGATTTAGTGTGCATTATGCCCCTTTCCTGAGGATAGACAATTCCCCGTTGGTCATGCAAGTGCATAATAGTAAATCTGGCCTACACTCGATAAAGATGATGCCGCACGGAAGCCTTTCTCCTCATCTCACCCTTCTTTCCTTTCTCAGGCTTTCTTTCCTTTCTCAAGCTTTCTTTCAAAGCCTACCCTTCATATAAATCTTTATGTTTTATTTTGGGTCTTTGTTGTTTCATAGCCTACTACCTCACAACAAAGAAGAGCACCTATCAATACCTGATTTCTACTTGGTCCGCTGCCCAAACCCCCAATTCACCTCGAATTCCTAATCAAACCATCCCATCTCTCTAAAATACTCAAAAAACCCTAAGATCYGACACTCCCATCTCTCTAAATGCCCCTAGATCTACCATTAAATCTATCAAAACTAATGGCCCTTATCAACCCTCATTTACACCTTAACCATTAGATCCGACACTCCCATCAGACCCCAAGCAACTTAAAATACTTACCTACGAAATTTCAACTCAAGATTCCTCCGTTTACCCTTCTATCAAGCCAAGAATCCCTTTCGAGCTCTCTCGTTGGCCTAAATACCCACAACCTAGATCCCCTTGGTCCAAACATATTTGAACCAATCAGACCACATCATTGAACCTTATCCTACAAAATTTCACCCAAAACCACCCTCATTTGCCCTTTCATCTAAAAATATTTCATTTCAAGGCTCTAGATTAACAGAATCTCCATCTACCCAATTTGAGCCAATTTGGACCCATCCAACCCTACCATTTGATCTAGAATGACCAAAAAAAAAACCTTGCCCTGTCAAGTTTCAATCAAAGATCCCTTCACTTTCCCTCCATCACACCAAGATCTAATTTCAAAGCCCTAAATTGACTGAATTACTCTCTTCCCATATTTACTCAATCCGGGCCCAATTGGGCCAATCTGACCCCATCATTCAATCCAAAATGACTAAAAACCATTCCCTGCAAAATTTTAGCTAAAAATACTCTCATTTGCCCCTTTATTTTAAAAGATTTCATTTTGGCCAATCTTTTTAACCTGTAAATACCAAATCATTATGAGCACCTAAAACTCATATCGACCCTCTGTTTTTTATCCAAAATCCCATCCATTCATCAGGAACCTCGATTTAACTAGGGTGTCAATGGACCTGTTTTTGGGTTGGATCCAATCCGAAACTAATCAAATCAGATTTGAACAGCCCAGTATAATTATTGGGTTGCACTAAACCCAAAATACATTCGTCCAAACCGAAAACCAGAACGGAATTCAGTAATTATGAAAAACCCTTGTTCAAACTTTGAAGGTTTGAAGTCTGAAACGATGAAAAACCCTTCTTGAAGGCTCTCACTCTCCAACTGCGCTTCTCTCCGACGAACAATATCTCTAGAAAACTATCTCTTCTCTCTCTCTAGTGGTGCTTCTCTCTCCAACAACATATTACACCATATTCCATCTGATACCCTTGTTAAAGGCTCTTACTCTCCGATTGCCTTTCTCTCTGGAAAACAATACCTCTGGAAAACGATCTCTTCTTTCTCTCTCCAGTGGCATTTCTCTCTCCAACAACATATTGCAGATAGATTTTTTCCTATTTTGGAGTTATTTCAGCTGAAGAGGTGAGCCCAATCTTTTATTAGAACAAGCAACAAGTATTCTTATATCTGATGACTTTGTTTTTCTAGCATTTGATGAATCGGATTTTGTTCTTTTATGTGTTGATTTGAAATGTGTGGTTTCAGAGGAAAACAAAATGTTGTTGTTATAATTGATCTCATTATGGTGAAGATGGTCGTTCAATATGTATGAAAGAAAAGTTAAATGTGTTGTCATGGATTCTGTACTCGGGGTGGACTTCAGTGCTAGAGATATGCTCAAATAGACAGCAGATGATGTTGGATTGGGTAGCCTTGGAGGGAGGTAGGATGGGGTAATCTTAGAAACCCAGGCCATTTTAATGTTTCTCAAGTTCACAATACTTTTATCCATAGATAGGTCAAATATAACCATTTTGTGAAATTACTAGTACATGTGCATGCCAATAACATATCTCTACTTCATTAAGCATTTAGGCCTTTTATGGCTCAAATATAGTCAATCTTTTTGCTTTTTATAAATGTTGAATTGTTGCCTGCAATTCAGTCATGTTTCTATTTATGGTACATTGCACCATCATAGGCCTTTATGGCAATAGGACATGTTAATAGTTGGCACTGCTTCAATTCAATTTATAGTTTATCCCTGATTTACAAGTAGCACTAGTTTATCCCTGATTTACAAGTAGCACTAGTTTATCCCTTTTAATGGTATTAACTATCTGTCCTTTATTGATTCAGCAATGGAGCTTGCATTGGATTTCGAGAAACTGACAAATGAGAAGCTTCTGAAATTGCATATTGTAAAACTACTTAGCCCCTCTATGTTTTTATTTGTTTTGTTCTTTTAGTCTATGTTCTATGTTTCCTTTGAAAGAAAATAAAAGAGAAACTGAAATTTATCAATGGGAATGCTTCTATCTTGCTATTCTTATATAGTTCATGCAAGATTTCAAGTACAAAGTGTATCTCTTAAAATTGATATCTTTGGTAGAGAGTGATGTACTGTCAACCATAGTATTCAGATTTGCGAAGATGTAGGATTGGTAAAGGAATAGGAATATGTGATTGAAATCATATGTGCTGCGGTTTCCCCTTTGTTCATTGTATGTTAGTTAACAACCTTGCAAGAAGGAGGTCAAAAAGAACCTAATAAGAAATGCAACCCATGTCTTATCATGTAATGATCTGCAACTACACCAATCAACAAAAGTTTAGTGTAATAACATGCTTGTAACCAAAATGAAGAACAGAGTGATACATGTTCCAATAAACTTATTATACTTAGAGACATGCACATACACTGGCACAAATAGATATTTGACCCAGCAAAATGATTCTCATGCTTATGTGGTCAAGGTTTGAAAGAACAATACAGAAGATATGGTTAAAATAATTTGTTACATCTTAGATTTTATATGAGCTCATATTTAGAATTCATTAATTAACTGGTGGAGTTATTGCAGATATTGTATTCTGGATTGTAACTACAGATATTGAAGAGAAAATTAGAAACAGATAAAGGACAATTAAGATAGGTAGATGCAATTTTGCATTTCTTGTTTCCTTTCAAAAACTGTATATCCAGTGGTAAACCTTTCTTGGTGAACGTTGCAATAATAATCATAGCATTAATGTCTTTGGTTTTTGTTTGTGTTTCAAAAATTCTTGATAAATGTTTCAAAAACTCTAAGAAGAAGCTTTATGTAGAGAAGAAATTGGGAGATAAATCTAATGACTACTACCTTGTTTGGAAAAGCACAACTTGATTAGCCATTTTTTTGTTGATGCCTTTGGAGTTTGTGTTTGGGTGGGGTGTTGGATCGTGTGGGTACCTTTGATGATGATGATGATGATGCCCCCTCTTTTAATATGCATACTTGGTGCTTTCTCTACATCTACTTATTGGTTGGATTCAGCTTACCAACTTTTCTAAAATTATCATTAAGAATATAGTTCATATTTAGATGTAATGGGTTCAACACCGGTGGCCTTAAATCTGAGTTTTGATTCAGCAAATCTCATTTTTAGAACCCATTAAATGAGAAGCCACACTTATCTGCTATGTTTTCACAAGGATATACATTGATTTATCCTCTGTAAGGTCCATGAATGGTAAAGAATCAGATTGAATTAGTTACAGGAATGGACCAAATAAGTACCCCAAAATGGATAGCTGAACTATTAGGAATGCCCAAAACGGGTGCCACTTTAAAAAGGGTTCCACCTTAAACTTGAGATTTGCAAAATTGCAGCCTATTTCGTGTGGAGGGGCATTCTATGTTTACTTTATTTGCCCCTAGATTTGTCTTTTGTCATTTACCATTTTCTTTTAACTATTGGCCTAGATTCAGAGATTGAGTGGTCTTAAACTGACCTATTTTGAACCAGGGTATATTGTAATTTACTTACATTTTCTTTATGAAACTCAGGAAGCTACCTGAACCAGACTAGAACAAATGCAACAAGACATTGAATTGGACCAATCCAATCCAGTCTAGGTTGGACAAATATTCAATCCATTGAAATGGACCAGTCCAAGCCAGTCCAGATTGAACAGGTTGGACAATCCAGTCCAGGAAGAACAAAATTAATTCAGAATGAATTTAGTGAGCTTTAAAAGAATTGATTACATTGCCTCAGTCTGTGAATAAGCATGAAATATTGTGTTGCTTGGGTTTCTTGTGTACATCTATGATGCTTTCCATGAAGAGTGCAACTCTATTTTCTGAACACTTATTATTGGTTAACATTCTCACGAGCTATCCTTTTTTGTATTTTACAGGTATTGGTTGACAGAGCTTATGTGGGGGAAATTTTGCAGAAAAGAGCTTCTTTTTGAGATCAAGAAGATTGATAGTCTATGGTCAATATGATTCAGCCTGAACAACTCAGCTTCTAAAGATGTAGTTGTAAATAGATTCAGCCTTATTTGGATCCTTGATATAACTATTTGTATTAAAACAAGCTATAGTTACAATGTTGTTAATCTATAGAAAGAACAAATTAAAAAAAAAAAAAACATTTTGTGAAGTTCTGATTTTAATATTTCAGATTTTCTTCATTTTATTTTTTTTTTGTAATTTTTATATTTCATTCAGTTTGGATTGGATTGGATTGGATCCAATCCAGTCCATTTACATTTTAATGAATTGGACTGGATTTGGTTTGTATTGGATTTTGACTGGATTGGATATAGTCCATTTGTAAATGGACTCACATTGGACTGGATCGGGTTGGACCAAATCCAGTCCAATTGACACCCCTAGATTTAACCCCCTTTGGACCTACTTCAACCAAAATACCCAACTTTTTCAAAATTACCAAATTACCCCTCATAACCCTCAAAATTATAAAAAATGCCATTAAAACCTAATATAGAAGAGAACGCAACTTTCTAATTCGGGTCAATGCGAGGAAGGTTACTGTTCATTGTCTCCTACCTTAAGACGAAGAACCAAGGGGCATATTTTGCATTGTATTTTCATAGTTTTTTTTTTTTTTTCCTATGTTGTATCTGAATACATAAACTATGGATTATGTGTTCACTTCTCTCGATCTAGTCATTTCACTCAGGGTAATTAGTTGTCAATGTTCTGCTCAAGAATAGTTTGTGAACGCATTATATTTGTTGGATCTCAAGAATCGGTAGTTTGTTAAGACTAGTATTTTACTGGTAATATGTTGGATCTATCGAAGAGTGATTTGGTCGAACTAAATAGTAGTATCCCTAGCCTTATGGGACTGTAAGGAAAGCTCACCGATCCGTCAGCCGCTTAGTTGTGTTAGAGTTTAAAAGAAAACATCAAAGCAAATCAGAAATAAAGATAATCAACAAATGGAGTGAGAGGAAAAAAAAAATATGTACAGAGTGATAATAAATGTAATGAGTAAGTCCAAAAGGTAAGGGAGAATCAATTTGCCAAGTAGATGGTAAAATAAGAGGGGTAGACTACAAAAGATTAAAAAATATCTAAAAAATTCATGAAACAAATCAACAAATAGGGTTCTATTAAAATAATAACACAAACAATCAATAAAAATAAAATTCAAAAAAAATTATATATATATATATAAATAACAAAAATTATATAAAATAAAATAAATGAATAAATAATTAGGGGTTTTCCTCTATGATGTTTTGTTCTATATTTATTTTGCTTGTTTGAACAATTATCTCTTTTATGATTATGCTTATTCATGAATTCCATGTGGGCCCCACCTATTGGACCCGGGAGAGGGGTGCCTAACCCCTTCCTTCTCCTAACCGAGTCTTACTCAAATTGGTTGGACCATTATTGTGGGTCCTAGAGTCACTATTAAGCAAATATATTTTTGAAAACCCTTCTTGGAGGTCCCATCACCTCACCTCTATTTCCTTCAAATGATGGGTGGCGACTCCAATTCAGCCCAAGTGAGTTTCTCACCTTTTTTATTTTTGCCTTCAGATACAGAAGAAACATTTGCATTCTTAGGCTTCTCAGTCTRACTATTCTTCTTAGAGTTGTTGTTCTGAAACCTTTCTAGGAGAAGATCTAGATGTAATTTCCAACAAGTGTCCTTAGTATGCTTTGGTTTCTTACAGTATTTACATATCACCTCTTTCTTCTCAGTTGGCTCATTTGACTTTATTCCAGTATATGCAAAATGCTCTAGAGGTTGTCCCTGTAATTGTACTTGCTGCCTACTCTTTTCATTGCTCACCGTATAATATGCTTGAGTAAAGGTAGCTTCATCTCTGGCTAAAATGTTCTACCTCGTAATATCAAACTCAAGGTTGTCTTGTAAGAAACTCAAACACTATGTTTCTTTCAACTAGTTTCCTAAATGCCTCTGCATCCTTGGTACTCTCCCATACAACCGTCTTCATTGCATCAATCTCATACCACAGTGACTTTTTTTTTTATCAATAACAGTGAAATTTTATTAATGATATAGAAAATCAGAGTTACAAGGGAAGGAGCTAAAAAGTCTTTAACTCCCAGCTACCCAAGGAACATCCTGACCATGCAGCAATTACAAAACAGCCCAAAATATAGTCTTTGTTTACCCCTTGCCTAGCTAGACCATCAGCCAATGCATTTGCACTTCTCTTTATCCATGTATAATGAATTTCCATGTCCTTGGTTAGCCATTTAAACTTCCTCTTTTCATTGTTGTATTTCCAAAGCATAGAACTGTCCTCTTTTAGCCAATTCACCACAATTTCAAAATCACCTTCTATAATCAACATTTTTATATTCATTTCCTTGACCCTTTGTTCCCCTTCAATAGCTCCCAAAATCTCAGCCCTCAAGGAGTCTCCCACCCCAATCGGACCAGAGTACATGGCTAACAAATGCCATGTTTCATCCCTTATCACTCCCCCTACTCCGGAAGGCCCTGGGTTGCATATGCTGCTACCATCAAAGTTCAATTTGATAAAGCCATGAGGTGGAGGAGTCCAGCAAGAGTTTAAAATCTTTCTACTTGAGCCCGAATCTGCAATCTCCTTCCAATTCCTTAACAACTCATCAGCTGAGAACACTTTGAGCAATTCCAATGTTCTCAACCGATGTACCATCCTAATGTGGATAATCTCCATGATTTCTTCCACACTTCTCTCTTTGTTTGAGAATATCCTTGAGTTCCTCTCCTCCCAAACAGTCCAACAAACTGCAGCTCTACCACACCTCCACATGATCTTAGCCCTTTTAGTTGGCCAATTAGGCATGGAAGTAAATGGTATCCAGACTCACCATCGGATTTACAGAGAACACATCAATGAGGAGACAAGCAACTGTTGGGTCTTTTCCTTTGGAGTAGATCCCCTGTATTAACTCTTTCCAGAAAGGCTTCCCAACAAAAACTCTCAACCTTTGCAGGTATAGGTCAACACCACACTTCTTTAACAGGGAAAGATGATCCAATAGGAGAAGAGAATAATAGTGCTTTGAAGAAGGAGGCACAAGTGTAGGAACCCGAGGGAGTAAGTGTCCAAATTATGTTCTCTGTCTTAGAAGGCTCAATGAAGACTCCTTCAAGAATGGATAGTAAGGCTAAAGTACAGGCTAATTCTGTGTCCCTGACATCTCTTCTTAGACTTAAATTCCAACCAAACCTAGAAGGTGAATTAGAATGAACAAGAAAGGAGGAGACTGGTTCATTTTTTAGGGTAGAAATAGCAAAAGGCCTAGAAATTGATCTTTCAAAGAGGAATCCCCAACCCAAACATGTTCCCAAAACTTAATGAGGTTACCTGAGTGCAAATCGTACATGATCTATGGAGAGAACAAGGGCAAGATGGCTTGAATAGCTTTCCAAGGAGAAGCTCTTGTAGTCCTAGCCTGAATCCCATCCATTATTTGCCAACCCATGTATACTTCCCACAATCTTTCTTTCTCCAACGAAAATCTCCACAGTCATTTCCCTAGTAATGCTAGATTCCTACTCCTAATGTTCTCAATTCCCAAACCTCCCTCCTTTTTACCCCTATAGACCACCTCCCACCTGACCCTATGGTTCTTCTCCTCCCCCGGTTCCCACAGAAAATTCCTCATTAGTTTTTCCAACCTACTAACCACCTTAATCGAGATCCTAAAGACTGACAAAAAATATACAGGAAGGTTAGCCAAAGTAGACCTGATTAAGATGATTATCCCTCCAAGAGACATAGTTTTTCTTCTAATTGGCAAGTCTCTTTTCAAATCACTCCACAACAGGGGCCCAGAAATCACTTTTCTGAGGATTATCCCCCAGAGGTAAACCCAAGTAGTTTAAGGGCCAATTAGAAACTACACAACCCAAAATGTCTGCATACTCACCAATCTCCCCTTCCCCCATATTGACTCCAACTATACAACTTTTCTCAAAATTCACCCTAAGGTTTGACATTTGTTCAAAAAGTTGTATTGTGAACTTCAAATTTTTAATCCAATTGATATCCCTTCCTTCACAAAACAAAATCGTGTCATCTGCAAATTGTAGGTGTATAAGTGGTATATTATCTCTTCCAACTCTCCACGCTCTTATTAGCTCCCTAGAATCTGCTTTGGATATCAATCCCCCTAACACTTCAGTAGTCAATGTAAACAATAAAGGGGATAGGGGGTCTCCTTGTCTAATCCCCCTCAAAGATGGGAAATAGTCCACCACTGTCCTGTTCACCAAAATGGAATATTGACAATCCCTAATCCAACCCATCACCCATTTGCACCAGATGTCTCCAAACCCAAAGTTAATCATTACCTCTAATAAGAATGACCAATCAACCAAGTCATAAGCCTTTTCTAGATCTAATTTGCATACCACACCTTTCTCCTAGATCTCTTATAATCCTCTAGACTCTCATTTGCTACAAGTAGTTGATCTGTTATTTGCCTCCCCTTTACAAAAGCTCATTGATGATCTTATAAAGGCTATTTACTAGACTGATCGACCTGTAATCCTTTAGATGGCTTGCATCACTTTTCTTGGGTACCAAAGCAATGAAAGTGGAAGTTAGGCCAAGGTTGATCACTCCTCTAGTATGGAATTCATCAAATACCAACAATATGTCCTCCTTTAGTATCTCCCAACAATCATGGTAGAAAGCCATCGTAAAACCATTTGAGCCCGATGCCTTTGATCTATCCATTGAGAAAATTGTCTTTTTTATTTCTTCCAACTCAAATTTCTTTTCCAACCACTCCCTATCTTCTCTCTTTAGTGTTGGCCAATCCAAACCTTCCCTTTTTATTCAGTGGYCTTCTAAATATATGCCTAAAATGACCTGCAAATGCTTCTGTAATTTCTCTCTGACTTGTGATTGTTTCCCCTTCAATCTCCAATCTAATATTAAAATTTGTCCTCATTTTGCCACTTGCCAAAGCATGAAAGAACTTAGTGACTTCAACTTATAGGCTCTTGTAACATTCAATTTCTGAGAATATGTTTCTGTAACACTGTCCCAAATTTCTTTGGACCAAGTCATTATGTAGGACTAATCTCTACTGGTTTCTCCTTACTGCCTATGAGATACCCCAGTTTACCTCTACTACAAACATAAATCCTTATAGATTATGCCCAGGCCAAGTAATTTGTTCCATCCAATTTAATTCCGATCACTCCAATCAAAATGAAATCTGTTGGACCAACCCCAAACACCGGGATCTACTTCATCTCACTTCTAGATTGCTCCATTGACCAAACGAAAATCCAAAAACAAGGTTTTTAATCTATATGGACCTAACTAAGGTCAGTCTAGTACCCGTAGGTCCCAAAATTAGGGTTTCACTACACTCGACTACCCGAGAGAAATGGGAGAAAAAGCAAGCGCATCTACTAGAGCTTTCCAAACTCCTTCCAACTTCAACTGCCCACTTCTAGATATCAAAAGGAACCCCCTAAGCACTGAGTGCCACACCCAAATTGTCTCCTTAATATGTAATGGTAAATTCTCTAGTCAACTAGGATTTTAGGCAAAAATCCAGCAACCTCACTTTCTTTGCAATCTATAACAAGATTTTGTCTCTCCAAACCCTCTACCAATTAAGCACAAAAGTTCTCTGAACAATTAGCAACTTATCTCTCCATTCACTCTTCTAATCAAAGGGTGTATGGGAAAAGAAAAGAAAAAGGAAAAAACAAGGAGGTGCTCTAATACCAAGATGTGATGCAATCCAGCAAATCTAAAAAATATTCTTTGATTATAAGAAGAAGAAGAAGAAGAAGAAGAAGAAGAAGACGAAGAAAACAGAAATAGAAGAAGATGGAGAAGAAAGGGAGAAGAAAGGGAGAAGAAGAGAGTTCAATGACTTCTCTCCTACCTCTCTAATCTCTTATTAATCTCACTAAATCCGAATTAATTACAAGTCTGCCTTTAAGGCTCAATTTGGAAGGAGTACAAATACAAATATGCAGAGTGCAAAACCTTGTATTGTATTATTTTGTATGCATTTGTACTCCTTCCAAACTGAGGCTAAGTGGGTGGCCAACTCATCAACATACTTAAAAGACAAAAAAAAGATTTAACAGGCCCATTATCAAACAAAACATATAAGCACTGATAACAAGACAATAATCCACTAGGGCCCATTCGGCCAGTCTCTCTAAACATTCTATTTCATCCCCAGATCCCAACCGTTGTCACCTTAACTCTCTCCAACACCACAAGTTTGGTTATTTTTACTGACAAGGGTTTAATTTCTTCTCAAGCTTGCTCTTTTGGAGGCATTTTCTTATCTACTTCTCTTCCTTATCTAGGTGTGTTCGGTGGTAGATCATCAAGCTTCAGTTCTGTTGGGGAGATAGAATTACTGCTATTTTGCAGGGAACTCAATTTGCATCTCAGTTCTCTGATGGTCATATTATCATCTCCTCTGACTCCTAGAATGTCATCGAGGTGCTCCAAGACAAGTTTTCTTTTCCTTGGTCTTGCTTATGGATTTTGATAAAGACCAAGTCTATCTTAAGTCTTTTTTTCCTTCTTTTCCTTCTGTTTTGTAAACAAACAGTATAATACTCCTACACACCTTGTAGCCCAAGCTGCAAAGACTCGCGCTGATAACTTCTTTTCTTTTGATCACTATCTAGCTTGGCTACCAAATGTTAAGGACCTTGTAAAGATTCAGCTTGTTTAATTTAATCCTTTTAGTTATCAAAAAGAGATGGAAATACGAAGATGTAAACCTACACTAGAGGTTAAACCCTAAAAGGAAACATAACCAAATAGAACATGCAAAGATGAATAACAGTACAAAAGAAAAAAATGGAAAATGGAAATACAAAGAAACAAGAAGAATGAAAAACAATGCATATGGTTGAGGTATTGCAAGAACACTGGACAACCAATCGAAACCTAGAAAATAAAACATGAAGTCGAGGAGAAGAGAAAGGAAAAAAGACAAGAGCTTACATTGGATCGATAGTGTTCCACTGTGTTGGGGTTCTCCTTCAGCGGCAATTGAGACCAAACGAGTGAAAATGGGGGTTGAGAAGAGAACTCCTCTAACTTTTGATTGGGTCACATGTGGGAGTTTTGCACAAGTCCTGACAAATGACTAAGCTTTATCGAGTAGACGTGAGGGTTCGAAAAGCTCTGAAGCTTCATTTGAAGTTTCTTGAAATTTGACTTTCTCGTCTTTCTATAACACCCATCTTTTGATCTAATGGGCTACTTGATACCAAACAGGATGTCTTCCCGTAGAGTAAAAGGCACATGAAGTAGACTTACCAAAGGGTGCCTTATTTTATTGAAATCAATCAAACAATCCAACCTGTTAAAGTGACCTCTTAGAGCAGTGGATTAATAACTTCCATTCAAGTTTATCCATAAATTCATTGTTCCAAAATTAATTTGATACATCATTTGGATGGATTTTTTATGATTAGATTTTTTGTGTTTGATATATCATTTAAATAACATGATTTTTCGCATTAAATATCAAGTATTAATTGATTGGATAAGATCATTTGAGATATTGGTATGTATTTGGATGGTCATGATTAATTCATTACTTCGATAACATAAATTTTGGGGTTAGTTTATTTAGAAGGTCCCAATTGATTGAAACCCTAGTACATCACTAGGATAGCTGAGATTAAACCACTCATCTTAAGAGATGACTTTGATGGCCTAGTATCTTTGGTGATTAGGTATAGCACTTGAAGGACAAAGATCAATTGCCAGATAAAAGGACACCACATTTATGGACTATATGTTTAGTATAAAAAAGTAACATCCAGAGTAATCTAACTCTTGACTACCCCAGAAAAAAAGGTCAACTCTTGGTAAATAATTCCAACAAAAACAAGTGAAGTGAAACTTAAATAATTTGCAAATACTCATTAATAACAAAATGATTTTCGTTTTATACAAACTGCATCTTTGTATAACTTTAGAACATCAAGCAAATAAATTTGATACACAGGCTACTAGTAAAGACATCATTCAATCTCAATCTGTTCCGGTCCTTCTGATTGTGGTCCTTCTACATAAATTTCTTCTTCTGTTATCCCAGAGGCCTCCACTGTTTTTGTAATCCATTCCTTAAGTGGCTCCTCGTTCAAATCAAGTCTTAGGAGACCAGCAAAGATTCCTCCCATGAAGGCAACAGGCTCCTAAACAAATGGTAGGGTAACTTAAATTGAGATAGAAGGCCGGGGAAGTATTCCAAGTTTATGGTAAATCTTCCATAGGCATTAAAGCAAGACACCAAGATAAATATCTGAGCTGGTACCACAAGAAAATGAAGGAATAGGCTTGCAGTCAGGGAATTCCACCTTACATGAAACACTTGCATCAATAAGGGAGAATATGACTTAGCCATTTGAGCAAAGGCAGCATTAATCAAATAGGTTACTAGGTGGTAATTTAAATTGTTTCTTGCTTCCTTTCATGAAGTTTGGCTTCTCTTAATGTAAAGGGTCATATCCACTGAGAGAACAGTTCAGAGGGTATGAGCATCTAATAAAATATATAATTATATATATTAGATACTAACTGATAAAAAAAAAAGTATCTTATAAAATAGAATGCCATACTAAATTTCCACATGGCTCCTAAAGTCCTCCATCTTTTTACATGGTTTTCATTATTGTAAATTACATGAAAAAAACAAATGCCCAATCAAAGTCACTGAACCAACCAGTTACTTTTTATTCCTTCTCCCGATGGTTTGGATGAAGGGCTGCTCCAATTTATTAAGACACAATAGAGGCTTCCAAGAAATGATTAGGGGGGCTTGTGTGGTTCTCAGAGTTGTTTTCATCCAATAGATGAGTAGAGAGCTTTAATATTTTTGCACATTTTCAAAAACCAATTTATAGTCAGCCTACTTGAGAAGAAAGAAAAATTAGAAACTCAATATCAGTTTTTGAAACCTAGAAACATATTTAATAATTACATAATTGGTCATTGACTAGAAATCAACTCAAGAAATTATAAACTCTTCCCCTGTGTTTGGTTTGAAAAAAAAAAAAAAAAAAAAAGTTAGGGAAAGGAAGGAAAAGGTTTCCCCTAGGTTTCCCTACCTTTTCTTTCAAAACCAAGCACAGCCTTCAGGAATGTAATTACAAGGAAAAGGGCATAGATAGTGGAATACTCTGTACTGATAAACAAGTAGTCCAAATATGCATTTCATTAGTACATAGAAAGAAGACCATTCAGCTTATATTTAGGGTTTAGGCTGCAAAAAATTGTAAGGATATATTTAGAATTTAGTAGATAGAAAGAATACCATTTAGCAAAATGTATTAGGTACTATTATTTATCTATTAAAATCAGGGTTTCATAAAATATCTCAAACCTTCGAAGACCTAGCATACATTTATCAACCAACGTTAGCAATCAAATTAAAAAAAAAAAAAGAAAAAGAAAAAAAATCAAAGACCTACTTGGTGAAATCTATCAGAATGCCCAACAAACATATAGTTAACCTCGGCTTACAATAATTTTCATATTTTTTTAAACTTCTTGGTGCAAAAAATAGGGCAAAACAGATAAACAAACAGATAAGGTTGTGATAGATAAGAAGAATAGAGGTTAACCTTGAGAGCTTCTTTGAGGACTGGATCTTCTATGGGATTGAAGAATAGCGCCTTAACCTGAAAACCTCTGTTACGCATCTGCTTTGGCGATGTAGAGATTTTTGAAGGTGTCCATTTCCACTATTTTTGAAAAAAAAAATGGACGAAGAATTAAGGAAGAAGAGTGAAAATAAATGTGGATAAGAAAGGGAACGGGGTTTAAACGGTAAACTCACCATCGCCGTTGAGGGACCGGCAAGGCAGAGAGCCATCTCTGATGAGTCCGAAGTTGAAATGGAAGCGAAGTGGTCTGGGTTCTGTTTACACGGTGATCTGCTACATGTTTTTAGAGGACCGGTGGAATGGCCCGTGCGATGTACGGAGTATTTGATATTGATGATGATGTTTGAATATACTTTTATATATCGGGTATAGATTTGTAGTTTATGTTTTTTTTTTTATGATTTTTTATTTTTTCATAAATTTTATACGAAATTCTTTGTTTTTTATACTTTATATTATTTTTTTCATTTTATATGTTTTTTCATAATTATTTTGTAATAACATATATATATATATATATATATAATGGGAAAAGTAGAAAGTTGAGGGTAAAGTTAGAAAGTAAAATTATAGTGTTTTGACCAAACCAATTGTAACATTTTCATTTTTCAGTATGATATATAAGTTTCTATGATTTTCTACATATTTTGTAAATTTTCAATGTATTTCTTTGTTTTTTGTAATTTATATTGTTTTCTTCATTTATGTTTTTCATAATTATTTTGTAGTGATAATATATATAATGGAAAAATTAGAAAATTGAGGGTAAAGTTGGAAAGTAAAATCAGGGTGTTTTGACCAAACTAGTTGCAACATTCTCATTTTTTTAGTATATAAGATATACATTGTAAAGAAATTTTTATGATTTTCTATATTTTTTGTGTATTTCACATTCTCATTTTTTTAGCATGGTATAGAAATTTTTATGATTTTCTTTTTTTTTTTGTAAATTCTTTTGTGTATTTCTTTGTTTTTTTGTTTTGTAATTTATATTGTTTTCTTTATTTTGAGGAGAAATGTGCATAGGATAAAGAGACACCATTTCTATTTCCTCTTTCTTATTGTGAAGTAGGGGGAATGGATAAGATATACACTATACAAAGAGTGGTTTAAAGGAGAGAACTAGGGTTTTAGAATTTATTCATTCGCTTCATATGTGAATGATAATATTTGGCCTTTTGCCTCATGTCATTCTGCTCGTAAATAGGGAGAAAACCAAAAAAAAGGCTTCATTTAATCATCTAATTGATTGTTCAATGATGAAAATAGAGAGGTCGAAAAAATTCATTCCTCCCTTTAATTTGAATTCATGGGTTTTGGGCAAACCATCCGATACTTGACACATGTTGGCTCTAATCAATGAAGAGGTTCGTCAGGTAGGCCTGACGAGAGTAGGCCTGTCAATGATACCCGAAAATCCGAGGCCCAATTTGACACCCAATCTAATTATCTTGGATTCAGATTACGTATTTATGTAATCAGATCAAATTGGGATGTTACAATCTACATCCAATTAATAATCAAATCGAATTTGAAATTTTAATATGACTATATTATAATATTTATTAATTTTAATATATAAATTCTATATAATTATATTACAATTTGGATTAAATCCAAATCCGATATGAGTTTGTTAGGATTCAAATTCGAATATGAGTCTCTAAATCAATCGAATTTCGGATCAAATTTGAATGTAGGTTCTTAATATTCAGATCGGATGCGGATTTTGCTACATCCAATCAGAATCCAATCCAATTGCAGCTTTATTAGGGAGAAGATCAAATAAGGCCTAAGGGGAGAGAGAGGAGTAGGTTTCATAGCGGTTTTATTATTATTTTATTTGCTACAGCGTGAACTGTTAACTAAATAAAATTGGAAAAATAAAAAACTATTATTATTTTATTTGTTACAAGCGTGAACTGTTAACTAAATAAAATTGGAAAAATAAAAAACTATTATTATTTTATTTGTTTTATCCAATTACATGTGCTAATCGTTAATTAAATAAAATTAGAAACTAAAAATGGGTAAAAATGGAAAGTGAAAATCAAGCTTTTTCACGAAACATTGTCACCATCCTCATTTTTATAAATGGTACAGACAACATTCTCATTTTTTAGTATGGTATAGAAATTTTTATGATTTTCTATATTTTTGTAATTTTTTGCGTATTCCTTTGTTTTTTTTGTAGTTTATATTGTTTTCTTCATTTAGAGGAGAAAGGTGTGTAGGATAAAAGAGATGCTATTTCTGCTTCCTCCTTCCTATTGTGAAGTAGGGGGAATGGATAAGATATACACTATGTAGAGAAGGGTTTAAAGGAGAGAATTGGGGTTTTAGGATTTATGTGTTCGCTTCATGTGTGAATGATGACATTTGGCCTTTTACCTCCTACCGTTCTGCTCATCAATGGTGGGGCCGTTATTTGCATATCTAATGCTTAGCATTAGGATATAGGTTAATCCTAATTCATTTATATTCGGATTCGAATCGAACATCCATTCGATTTATATAGAAGAATTCGGATCTCCTGCCAACAAAATGCATTCCAAACCCCTATGGCCCTACCAAGTACAATCCCTACGATATTGCGCTGGTAGGGTGTTAGACTACCGGATTGGCCTAATGATCATCGAGAAAAAACACCTAAAATGAATCAATATAATGAACCTAAGAGCATTTCCTGATCCAATACAACTTATTACGTTAAGAGAGACAATTGAAAAAAAATAGGGAGAAAAAAAAAGCTTCATTTAATCATCTGATTGTTCCCTGATGAAAAGAGAGGTGAAAAAATCCATTCTTCCCTTCAATTCAAATTCGTGGTTTGGGCAAACCATCCAATACTTGACACGTGTTGGCTCTAATCAATGAAGAGGTTCATTAAGTAGGTGCTTCGGGAGAAGATCAGATAAGGCAAGGAATAGGTTCCACAGTAGTCTTATTGTTATTTTATTTGTTTTATCCAATTACAAGTGTTAATCGTTAATTAAATAAAATTGAAAAATGAAAAACATAACAAAGGGTAAAAATGGAAAGTGAAAATCAAGCTTTAAAATTAAAAAAAAAAACATGATAAAGGGTAAAAATGGAAAATTAAAATTAGGCTTTTTGACAAAACATTGTCACCATCATCATTTTTATAAATGAGAAAATGATGAGATACAGAGATTGTCCAATTACAAGTGTTAACTGTTAATTAAATAAAATTGGCAAAATAAAAAACATAATAAAGGGTAAAAATGGAAAGCGAAAATCAAGATTTAAAATAAAAAGTAAAAAATACAAAGAATATCCAATTACAAGTGTTAACTGTTAATTAAATAAAAAACATAATAAAGGGTAAAAATGGAAAGTAAAAAATATAGAGATTATCCAATTACAAGTGTTAACTATTAATTAAATAAAATTGGAAAAATAAAAAACATAATAAAGGGTAAAAATGGAAAGTGAAATTCAAGATTTAAAATAAAAAACATGATAAAGGGTAAAAATGGAAAGTAAAATCATGGATCTGGCCTCTTCTCCCAAGTATTCCAAACTGAGACAACATTGACCATCAAAGCATGTCCTTCCTACCAGTCCACCCCCTTGAACTGGCATAGAGTGAAGATATTGTTATGACTTGATGCTTTTCCAATTAACTAATGAATGGAGTGGAGGCCATTTTTTGTTGTTTAATTTCCCAAGGGACCCTATTATGTTTAAAAATCCCTTATTTAGCCCAATTTGAGCCAACACATGGATGCCTTTTCTTTGATGAACAAGTCAAATTCATGGAGGGCACATTAGAGGGCTAAAATAAAGAAAGAAGAAAATAAAAAGAGATAACAGAGAAAGTAACGAAGAAACTATGACCAAGTTTAGTCGGGCTTAAAATGAAGTAGTTGTTTGGAAGTGAAGTAGAGATTCAAAGTGCTTAACATATACTTTTTCAATAGTTGTGTCATGTTATAGTCAATGAAATGAAGGGATGCCATCTTTTGGTCATTTGTTCCATCTTTCATGTTGCATCCCAATTATACACAATTGAATCTGTTAGTTGGCCCTTTGAGGCTTCAAGTTAGCCTTTCCTTTCCAATAAACATTTTCTAAGTGGCAAATGTCCAAAATTGGGGCAACAAGGGGCAGTTGAAAAAAATGTGGTTAAGGAAGTCAAAAAAAAAAAAAAAGGAAAAAGAAGAAAACAAAGGAAAAAAAGTGAAGAACAAATTGAGGCAACTTAGTATCGAGGGATGGGATAGAAATTTTGGAAAACTAGAAAGCTTTAAAGAAAGAGATAATCAAGGAAAACCAAACTAAGGAAGTTGGGGAAATTAGAAAACAAAGGGAATGGGAGAGAAATAATTACAAATGAATGATGAAAGAGAGAAACAGTGAAGAAGAAATTGGGGTAGACAAAATGATTCAATCATTCAAGAATTCCTTGGATTGGATATTTGTCTTTTGATTCCCCAAACTGATTACATTTCATCTATAATAAAGTCCTCTATGATCAATGAGGGAACATGGCTCATATTGAAAAATGCGAAGAGCATAAAAAAATGAAAGAGAGAGAAGGGAAATAAAAAAAATAGAAGATAGAGAAAATGATTAAGAACAAGTAGCAACCTTGCATAAAAGTTAAGTATTCAATTTCCTTTTGCAAATAAGTTTTTTAACCTTTTACCCTTCATTTCAGACTCTCCCTTCTTGAACCACATTTTGTCCTATGCACTAAGTCCTCCTTCATCCTTGAGAAATTGGCAAACCAATGCTAGATAGACCTAATTGATTAGAAATAAGGGGTCTCATTTGAGCATTCTCTAATCAAGCATCATTTTCATCATCAACCCTTCTCGTCAACTAGATATTGGGGCAATCCCCTTTGATTTGGGTATTTTCCAAAATGCACATTTAATTGATACTTTAGCATTTTCAATGTACATGCCTTTAAAGTTGTTATGGTTTTGATTATCTCTTTCAAGGAAGGGGAAAATTACTGTTTGTCTTTTACTAAAATGTGATGTAGATCTCATTAGACATAATTATTCTATTCTGAATTGATGTTAACAGTGTCCCTTGTTTTGATCCGATGACTTCCTAAAAAGAGAAGAAGAAGGAGAAAAATTTCATCATCCTCTTCCTCAAAAGCGTTGTACTGTCCTTCTACATAGAATGTTGCAAAAAAAAAGTTTTTTTAAGGGAATCCCATGGAAGTATAGCGTTTGGCATCCAAATCGATTAYATACATGCGCCTCAAAGGAGAAATTCGAGCCCCTCCATTGCAAGGTCATTTGATTTTTCACCACACT